AGAGAGCTGGGTCCCTGCTCTATGGCCAGGGCTCACGGGCTGAGAGTCCTGGGGCTGGCCACCTTAACTGATGGAGCCTCAGTCTCCACCGGTAGAGAAGAGACCAGTACCTGCGTCACGCGACAGTCATGCGGATTACATGAAATAGACATGTTTGGTACTTAGACACAAATTGTGCCAGACACAAATAATAGCTATCCTGCACTGAACACTTACTATCAACTTACAAAATGCAGAAAACACCTAATCTTCAGGCCTATTGTGGAGGAAATCAATGAAATGCCTGTCTATATCTTTATGACACAGGATGGGCAACTAGTAGGCACACTACAAATCTGAGTTTCTTTCCCAGGGCCACCTGACTGAGAGCAGCAGAGGCAGAGGAACACCTGTTACTGGGGTCTGGAGCTCTGGTTTCTCTCTGTAAAGGGGCCTGCAGTGCCGACAAGACCTTGGCTGAGTTTTCCTTTTTCCCTTAATTCCTAAGTACTTCCCTACTTTCCCAGGGACCCCTGGGATAGAACGTCTGGGGAAGGGGAGGAGGGCCCTCATCTACATGGGGTTCCTTGAAGCCCCTTTCCACCTTTAAGAGAATCATCTCCAGAATTAATTAACAGGCACCTGAAGGTAAGAACCAGGGGCTACACTGTTTCGCCAGTGGAGAAAGATATCCCAGTATATGACTTAATAGCAATAACCAATACACAAACTGTCACCTCCCCTATCCATTTCAATTCTGAACATCCAGCAGCTCAAGCCCTGTTCTGTCCTACCAAAGCTCCATCTTATGGCCTGCCTGCCCTGGGAAAGAGGGTGGTAGCCTGCAAGTTAATTGAGCCCACCCTCCCACCTGCCTACCTGGGGTGCCTGTACTGTCCCTGCCTCTGGGATCAAGGTCAGGGCTGGCAGGAACCCACCTGTAGTTGGTTGAATTATGTCCCCCCAAAACTCCTTTAAGTTTGAATTGTGTCTCTCAAGTTTTATGTATCGGAAACTTGGCCCCCACTATGACTGTTAAGAGGGTGGAGAAAACCTATTATGGTAATTGAACGGTGGAGCCTTAAAGAGGCTCTTAGACTGCAGGACCATACTGTAGTGAATGGATTAAAAACGGTGGTCAGGGGCGTGGCTCTGAGAGCTTTAAAAGAAGAGAGAAGACTGTCTTTCTGCTTCCACCATGTGAGACCCCTGGGTCACTGTCGCCACCACCAGAAAGACCTTGGACTTCCCAGCCTCAGAAACTGTAAGCAATAAATTTCATTTTTTTTTTTATAAATTACCCAGTTCCATGTATTTTGTTATAAGTAACAGAAAGAGACTAATACACCATCCCAAGCTGGGCACTTTCATACACACACCTATCAACTCACCAGATTTTCCCAACAACCTGCGTGTGGGTCCCGGTATCCCCATTCACAGAAGTGGAAGCTGAGGCAGGCAGGGAACGATGAACTACTAGGGTCCCAGAGCCAGCAAGTGGCAAAGCTGGGATTCAAGCACTGATCTGGCTGACCCCACAGCCCAGACTTCAGGTTTTCTAGTCTTAAAATGGAAGCTGCTAGCAGGCAAGAAAGAGGAGTGGGTAGGTTCCATCTGGAATTCCAATCTCTGGGTGTGCTGGAAGCACAAACAAGCTCAGGTATGCTGCAATAGGATGAGTGAAGACAAAGGTCCCTCACAGCTGTTCTGTATTAATTAATAAAAAAAAAAAAAACCGTATCCTACCATGTGCCAAGCACAGCTCTGGGGATAGAAACACAAATTAGCCACAGCTGTTGCCTTTGGTGCTTACCATGCAGTGGAGGAGGTCACAAACAGGTAATTAAAATCGTTCATGTTCTGAGAGATAAAAGATGTAAGGACAAAGAACAGCAGGAAAGGAGGTGCTAATTGCCTAAGGGATCAAGGAAAGGCTCCACAGGAGGTTAGCTGTGGCAAGTGTGCCCAGTGAAGAAGGGCCCAGGATTCCCAGCCGGAGGAACATCAGGGTGTGTAGGCTCAGAGACGGAAAGAATTCGGACCCTCGGTGTGGTTTAGGGGTCAGGGGGCAGTGGTGAGAGCAGGCTGCCAGATGGTGAAGGGCTGAGGAACAACATAATAATTATTAAACAACAGTGCCCACTGATTGGGTACTTACTGAGTACCAGGCTTGGCCCCACTCGAGAGGCAGATCCAGTGCTAGCTGCTCATTGGTGGGTGTGCAAGAACCACTGTGAAATATTTATTAAGCACAACAACGGTGTTTACTGAGCACTTACTTAGTGCCAGGCATTGAGCCACCTGCTTTACATACACCCTGTGTAATCTCGACAACCCCATGGGGTGGCTGCCATCACCCCCAGCTTACACAAGAGGAAAGGGAGGCATAGAGAGGTGAAGTAACCTGGTTTAAGGCAGCCCAGCCAGCACAGCCTGGCTGGTTCAGGCCTGCCCAGCCATCATGGAGACCCAGGCCCAAGGGGTTAGGCCTCATCTTGTGACTGGGGGTGAATGGGGCGGGGGGAGGGACAGGGGCTTTAAGCAGGGGAGTGCCAGGGTGGGTGTTGCTGCTCCTCTCTCCCCATAGGTGGTTGTAGGGAAAGCCACCTCCATCCACCTCCTCAGGCCTGGACTGAGCAGTGTGGACGGCCGCGGCTACACAGCCTCCCTGCTACCCTGTATCATTCTTGACCCAACGAGATGCCACCCAGCCAACCACTCTCTGTGTGGCACTCTCCACTTACATGGTCTTCACTTATGAGGACTAAGGAAGACAACACAACAACCCCCACTTTGCAAATAAATTCAGGCTGAAACTAATGCACAAATCTCAATTTGACGCTTTATATAGGAAAGGGATGCCTTTTAGGGAAAAAACCCCAGCTCTTACAATGTTTATCAACATTTTTTGCAATAACTAGCTGGGTCACCTGCAGGCTCACCATAAAAAGTATGGGAATTTTCTACTAGAGGGACTTAACAGTGCTGACTGGCTATGAATAAGGTTGAAGGAGTGGGTTGCACAGAGCTGGGATTCAAATATCTGGACATAAAGGAGCTTAATTCAGCATCTAGTAGGGGCTCAAGTATTTCTCATTATTACTAAAATTCCAGAGAAGGCGGGCATCACATCACCCAATGCCCCCATTTTATAGATGGGAGAACCAAGGCTCAGAGGACTATGACTTATCTGGTGTCCCCAGGATTTGCTGGAGGTGGTTCTTCTCCTGTCTCTTGGCCTAATGAAGTACTCACAAGTGTCTGTGTCGCACCACCATCTGGGAGAATTCAATTCTGTGCTCACTCAGAAGACAGCCCAGAGAGCAGGAAGCCCAAGCCTGCCAACTTTTCACATGGCATTGGCGGGAGCGGGTATGCTATGCCAAACTTCCACGTTAGCCTCCCCCAGGTCCTCTGGCACCCTGAAGCATAACCAAAAGGGCAAAGGGAGGAGCCGAACATAACTGCAACTCGGGCGGGATTACCCGTGCTGGTGCCAAAGTCCAAAAAGAAAAAGGCAAATTGATGGACTCAGCACAAGCACGAAGTTCAAACTGCATTTCTGCCTGGGACCAGAGGTCGTGGGTTCTAACTTCCTGGTGGCAACCCCCTGCCAGGGATGCTCTGACCCCTTCCCAACCCCTCTCCAGATTGGCAGTGGCAGGAAGTAAGAGCCTGGTGGCCCTGGCATTCCCGGCACACAGCTCTGGCTGGACAGGGCTCCTGGTGACCTCACTTCCTTCACTTCCACCAAACCAGTTAGTCCTCCCGGGCTCCACCTTCTACATGAATGCTGGACTGTGTGCTTTTTCTCTGTCCAGGGAGGATACTCCTGGCCCCACAGGCACCACTGCTGCATACTGCCACCAGGTAGAGAGCTGGTGCATGCTGAAGGGGTCCTGGGAAGCCCAGGCCGTGCTCTCCAGTCTGTACCCTGAGGCCTCCCACTTCACTCTCTAGGGACGGGAGGCTCAGCACAACTTCTGTTTTGCCAGCTGCTGCTCCTGCAGCTGATCCAAACCGGGACTGTTTGGGGAAACACCAAACATGGGCAAAAAGCAAACAGCCTGCTTGCTGTCCGGGCACTGGAATGAGCAGTGAAATGCCAGGGCCAGGCCACCTGCCCACGGTGAGCCCTGCTGGCCGCTGCCCACCCCGTGCCACCCGGACCACTCACTCCCCTCCTCCCCCCAGCCATCTTCTCCTCCAAAGTCCTCCCTCCGGCTCCCTGATACAAGCTAGCGTTTACTCCTCACATTCCTGAGAATCATAAATCCTCCTGGATGGCTGAGCGCCCCCCCCCCCCCCCCCCCCCCC